TATATATATATATATATGTATGTATGTATATATATATATATGTATGTATGTATGTATATATATACACATATTCTCCTTATCTTCAACAGCTAAATTATAAAACATACACAAAACATTATTAGACACTTAGAAACTAATAGCTCTCATGACTTTTTTACCACACCAAAAATGCTTTCACTTCCTATCCCTCAGAAAGCTTCATTCGTAAGATTCTAGCATTGAATCTAGGCCACTTTCTCAAGAAGACTGATCTTCTCCACTCATAGGTGACATAGAATTTACCTGACCTACATGCCTCATCATATTAAATATCGAATTTCTTTACTTCTATGAACATTTTACATTTTGGTACTCTATAAAAATCATAAAATAACAAAAATCAAACTGTCAATTAACATATATTTGCATAATCAAATCTTTTACCACCCCATATCAATTGGGAGTCCAAAGTCCCAATTGTCAAATATCCATTTAGAACTCATTATTTTCAGATATACTTTTCTTCCTATTGCTAAGTACTAACCAGTTTCATTTTAACCAAAATGCCTGTAATATCTCAAAGAATTTTATACTTCTTTAATTGCTAAGTAAGGTTTTTAAGGACAAGCTCTATATTCGGACCAATATGGCAATTCTTTCGAAGGAATTGCAAAGTTTCTGTCAAGTCACAGAAGCAGATCATATAGGGTATAAATTAAGGAAAACAAAAGCAGAGTACATAATGGGTTAACAAAGCTAAGCTCCTCAATAAGGATAGGAACTATAATATACGAGCTTTGCCAAATTCAGAGTTCTCTAAAAAAGGGGGGTGAGGGTGGGGGAGAACCCAGTAGGATCATACTGTTTTAAGCAAAAGGCTGTAATACTACTCAACTTTTAATACCAGCTAATGCAGTTTCTTAAAAAAGATCATGTTTTATTGAAGACCTCACGTTTTAAGACATATAACAGGAAACTGCTTGGTAGCTGTATTTATTTTACTAGCATGAACACATGTAAGTATTAATGTAATAAACAGCTCTTCTAGAGTTGGTTTGACAAAATTGTCAACATATGCTACATTAACTAGAATTTAAAAGGACACTGTCAGAGCATATTTTCAAAAACATTTATATTACATATTTTAAATTCCTATTTGAAAAAAACTTAAAAGAGCTCTCCAGTGAGAAGAGCAACATTATCAGTTTTGTGATAACCAAAGAAAACAATTTTGACACATGCAATATTTCCCCGCCAAAAAGTAATATGTTTAAAAATAATTCCATAAATACTTTAATATAAAAAAGCTGGCCCTTTAAGTTTTACTGCATCACTATTTACAACACTGAGTGCAATTAGGCTAGGCTAAACAATGGAATCACTAATCATCATCAGTATGTAAAGTGTTAAATTGCAAACTTTCTATTGGAATAGCATTTTTAAAATATGAATTAGGTCACATAAAGGATGATTTAATTACTATATTTCAGGGCTAAGTCTCTGGCCAACTGTACTATAAACTAGGGTATTTAACTCTGTTCAACAGTAACATTTCATCATATTAAGAGAATGTGTGTACATGCATTCATGTATAAATTTTAGTTTTCATGTATGCATCTGAATAAACCAGGAAATATTCAAAAAGAGGGACAAGATGATAGACTGCAGTCAGTGATGGCAACAGCTAACTTTCTCTGAAGAGGCAAAAAGGACATTTACCAGAATTGAAAACAGTTTTAAGTACCTGATGCTTACAAGAGACATAAAGGTCAGTTTGGGGAAAGAAGCATCTGTAGGTGACAATGCTAATTAGTGTTAAAGGTATGTCTATATATGGGTGGTGTCCTCAACTAAAAGACAAATTGAAAAGAATTGAGCAGTGGACTTACAAATCCAAATCAGACCATCAGTGAATGGCATGTATCAGAGAAGGGAACATGGGGTTTATCAAAACTGTGTTTTCCTAGACTGTTTATAATCAAATCTATAGTTTAGAAACTAGTATTCCATAATATATATTTTTGAGATTTTATATTCTTTCAGTTTTCCTCAGAATGTTTAAGGTTCTTTGGGTTAGAAAAAAGGATTCTTTGGGTACAATATCTCAATTATGTCAGAATCAAAGAATCTTATGGGTGTACATGAGCTAAACATAAAAAATATACTGTAGTTCAAAAGGACTGAATACCTTAACTAAAAAAACTAAGACTGCACAATCTCCATGCATGCTTGATTCTTCTCTTACAAGTTCTGTCCTCATAATTCAGAACATTTTATGTAAGGCAAGTATGACATTCTTTTTATTTGATTTTAACAAAAACATTTTATACCTACAAGTTTGTTGTTTAGACCATTTGTCTTACAATATGAATGTTAAAAATTCAGCAAGTTGGGGCTGGGAAGATAGCTCAGTGGTAGAGCGCTTGCCTTGCATGCCTGAGGCCCTGGGTTCGATCCTCAGCACCACATAAACAAAAAGAAAAAAGCCAGAAGTGGTGCTGTGGCTCAAGTGGTAGAGCGCTAGCCTTGAGCTGAAGAGCTGAGGGACAGGGTCCAGGCCAGAGTTCAGGCCCCATGACTGGACCCCCCAAAAAAAAATTCAGCAAGTTCAGTTATTATTATTTTTTAGAAAACTGGTAAGTATCCAATGACAGGCAGCATGCTAATTTCGTCTTTTCCCACACCAGAAAATAATGTAATTTGATGTGGTAGGAAACCAGATGAGAAGTGGATATCGAAGATTCTAGAATGAGTATCTCGAGATCAATACAATTAGTGTACTTTCCCTGATGTGAGACCATTTAAAATGATGATTTCTTCAGTGTTATATAAAGCTATTAAATATTGGTGACAAATGCTAAATGATTTAATTTAAAATAAAGGTAATGATTTTGGTAGTGCCTTAGGAGCTTGCTTAGAAAATTACATTTTAGAGATTATGTCAAATAAAGAAAACTCCAATGAATCACCCACCAGAATTTACTAAAAACCAACCACTTCACTGGCTCACATAGACAGTTTTTATTAAAGTACCAGAAATTAAGATGGCAAAACATTTACCTCTTTAAACAAATTAGCAATTGGAATATACTGTTTAAAAAACCTTATCAAAAGAAAAATTCAAGCAATCCGCTTTCAAAATAAAAAACAAAAGTGTTTTGTATCTGCAAAGGATGGACTGCTAAATGTTCACGTTCACATGCTTTTTAAGAGGTGTATTTTTCGTCTAGAAATGTAAATTAAATTTGCTTCACTTAGTCTTGAAAGCACAAACACCTCACATACCCACTTAGCAGTGCACACTCATCTAAAGAACAGACCTACCTGGTGAGCCAAATCCACCAAGGGCCGAACCTATAGCAGCACCCAAAGAGCTACCACCTCCAAAGCCGAGAGATGTACTTCCAGGCTGACCTGGTCCGTGAGAAAATAGAGAACTACTCTGGGAGCTATTAGTTAAAGAACTGCTCCCATAAAATGAGCTAGACTGAAGATTAGTGCTTGGCGGCTGCTGCTGCTGCTGCTGCTGGGGTGGCTGAGTGCCAATTGGCCGAAACAGACCATTTGTGCTGCCTGTAAGACCGTTTGCCGTTCCTCCAGCTGCCGCTGCTGCTGCTGTAAAACAAATTTCACATGCTTATCAAAACTACCCAGAAAACTTCCATTTTAAAAATTGTATTTGAAACAAAACTAGAAAAACAGCTCAAGATGTCAGTTAGACTTACCAGCTTGTGCTGCTGCTGAACTAATTAAAACAGGTGTTGGAGCCATTAATCGAACTGGAGCTCCAAGGCCAGTTCTTGCTCCAGGGCCAACCACTAAGGCACCAGTCTGATCATAATAGGCAGTTGGAGCTAGTACCTGGTAGCCTAGACATTAAAATAAATTGTTACTAACAGAACACTTATAAAAAACATGCATGTTTATATTCTCTGGCACTTGTGATTTCAGCCAAAAACAATCATTTTATACTATTGCCACACCAAACCCTTAAATACCTATTATATGAAAAATAACACATTTGATAAGACATTACTAAATAAATGAAAAATAGAATGTGATAAACTTTCTTCTGTTAGTTTTAACAGAGAGGCTTTTAACAGAAACGCCTTTAGCTTATGGACTATAAAGTAATTATTTTCCTTAGTATAGAAACTACAGGCCACCAAGAGCTAATAGTAGAAAATGATTACTATGTAATTTCAGCACAGTTTTAAACTAAAGTCCTCATTTCCAACATTTCCTTATATTTTCATTTGTAAGCATCTCTTGAAAAATCTTAAAATGTGACCCAAGTAACTTACAATCCCAATAGTCTACTTGTAAAGGTTTTCAAACTAGAGTTTGATTAAAATTATGCAGGCATTTCGTTTATTTGTAGGCCGGAGCACAAGACAGGTAATAATTTGTACTACTCAGAATCTCAGAAGAGTCAAGTTTACCTCTCAGCAGCCTTTCTTAACCAAGATTCCTCTACTAAACCAAACACACACACACACACACACACACACACACACACACACTCTCTCTCTCTCAAGTGACTTTTGTCAATTTGCCCAAGGATGTATAAAGGATGGTACATAACAGGTTATCGTGAATACTTGTACTGTTAAAAGGTTTAATTCTCTCCCTGAATTCAAGGTGAGAAAAGCTGCCTTATACAATGACAAGAACTCAAACCTCAAAATGGTAATTATCTATGACAATGTATTGGAAACTTCTACTATTTAAAACAGACTATGCTGAAGAAAAAGTCACATTCAACTTAATGATAAAATAGCACAAAAACCTTGTTGTCTTCAAATATAGTAAGTTAGCTAGGCGCTGGTGGCTCACACCGGTAACCCTAGCTCTCAGAGGGCTGAGAGCTGAAGATCATGGTTTGAAGGCAGCCCAGGCAGAAAAATCTGTGAGACTCTCACCTCCAATTAAATCACAGAAAGAGCCAGAAGTGGCACTGTGGCTCAAGTAATAGAGCACTAGCCTTGAGCAAAAGAAGCTCAGGGACAGTGCCCAAGCCCTGAGTTCAAACCCAGGACTGGCAAAAATAAATAAATAAAAACTATATATATATTAATTATTCATTCATTTAAGCTAGAGTAAACACGTCAACACTTTCAATACAGAAATTTCTACTAAGTATTAGCATATTGCTAATAAAACATCCACCAGTAAATTTCAAGCTATAAATGTTAGATAATAGTTTACTAGTAATGCATATGGTCTAGTCCTAAATTCAAAACACAGAACAAGCTCTCATTTCAAAAGCATTACTGTCTATTCAGAATTTCAGGATGAATTAAAATATTTTGGAACTTCGGGCACAAACATCCTACCAAATACCAGCTAACTATTCAACAGTAAACACAAATTTCCAGAGAGGAGCATGTCTATAATAAATTCCTCTGTGGGATCCATTCATTTAACCTTCTAAATTTTTCTCAAATTTACTCCTTTCTTTTAACTGCCACCATCCTATCCAAGTAGATCTATGTGCTGGCCTAAGTTCTCCGATTGTCACTTCCAGAAGTATTCCGTTATCTTTTGATAACAAATCTAATACCATACCCCTTTAAACTTCTTAAAGTTTAATGAAAGCAAAACGCTAAACACTGTCTTCCGTGTGATCTTATTCCTACCCTCAAGGGAAAAAGGTCAATCATACTTCCATAGAAAGAGCTCTTCAAATGGAGAAAAGGAGAAGCAGAAAACCAAAAGGGTAAAGGGACAGTAATCTAACTGGGAAAGGAGAAGGCAGTCAGATTCTTTCAGATCTTGACTTGGGCTTTTACTCTGAAAAGGTATGAAACCATGTGGTGGTGGTGGTTGTTTTTCCAGTGCGAAGAAGTCTTTTATTTAGAAGAGTTTTATGACCATACCAGCAGACTGGCCTGAAGTTTGTGTTTTCCAATGAATAAGAAAAAACTTTCAAACAAACTAGCCTGTTTTCTTATGCATAATGAAGTGATCTGGTTCTAATCTGTCAGGAGATAATTAAGCTACTGGCAGGAAAATATAATTAGGTATTACAAACTTAGATGATTTTTTTTTAAATCTGGGCAAATGTTTCACGTTCAAGTAAAAAGTACCAAATACTGCCATGCTTTCTGCTCCCAATTAGATACAGTCTTCTGGTCAAGTTCTACAAATTGCCAAAGCTTTGTTGGAAGATGCTGGCAGAAACACGTGTGGCTACCAATGCCGCTGGAGAAATCCAACAGCACACTCAACTGCACTGAAACAGTGATTTTTTTTGTTTCTTCTTTATTTCCTGTATTGGTCCTGGGCAATGTCCCTGAGCTTTCTGCTCAAGGTTAGTGCTCCTCTTCTGGCTTTCTGGTGGTTAACTGGAGGTGAGAGTCTCATGAAATTTTCTGCCCAAGCTGGTTTCCAACCACTATCCTCAGATCTCACCTTCCTGAGAAGCTAGAAATACATGCCTGAACCACCAGTGCCCAGCCACCAATCAGAGGGTTTTGAAGAAGAACTTAATCTGAATTTCATTTTCAAGCTATAGTATAGGGAACAGATTTCAAGGGGAAAGTTTCTAAGGCAAGAAAGGAGGAATAAGGTAAAAACACGGGAAGCTGGATGTAAAGCCAACCTAGATGAGATATAAGTGACTAGATCAGTGAAGAGTTGAAGATGAATTCTACTAGGGGCATAGCTCAGATTGTATTTGCCCAACATACTCAAGGCCCTAGATTCAATCCCCAGTATTAAAAAAACAAAAACAAAAAATAGATGGTTCTATCTTGAGAGCCATTAGTATTTGCTGAAATTAGATGTGGGCTGTGAGGGAGAAAGAAAGAATTAATGGGGCTGGGAAGGTAGCTCAGTGGTAGTGCTTGCCTTGCATGCATAAGGCCCTGGGTTTGATTCCTCAGCACCACATAAGCAAGAAAAGCTCGAAATGGTGCTGTGGCTCAAGCTGTAGAGCACTAGCCTTGAGCTGAAGAACAGTGCCCAGAGTTCAGGCCCCATGGGGGGCGGGGGAGAGGGATATTAATGGAATCTCCTATTTTTGGTATACATTTTGTAAAAAATGGACCTAATATTTTCTACAAAGTAAAAATGGAAATCACAATTCATTTATCCAGTATACATCTTTTAATTTATTACCATCAGAGTTTTAGTATCGTCTGATGACTTATTTTCCTGATACTGGTTATGTATCTAGAGCTGCACACATGCTAGGCAAGGGTTCTGCTGAGCTATAACCCTCTCCTGCCCTTTTCTTTTGATCCTTTATATGCTCCCTTATACACTATTTGGTTTATTCTTTTTTCAGTTTTCAGATGTTTTACCTCATTTAGTTTCCAAATCTTATTTTCTAATTTATGCATTTAAGCCTTCAACCCCATCCAACATTACCCCTCCAACTAGTTAACCAATTTTGTACCTGGCATGCCTGTAGCAAGACCCTGACCAAAAGCCAAAGTTGGATTTGCAGCTGCAGCTGCTGCAAGTGATTCTGCTTGCTGCCCTTGCTGCCCCTGATTGGGAGTAAGAGGGCGCTGACCTGCTCCAGCACGAAGAACCTACAAAGGACAGATGACTCTTAAAAACAGTATTATAAAATAACAAATGTATCTTAGATATCTGGGCATATATTAAAGCAGACTTTGCATATATGCTTACATGTAATGCAATTACCATCAAGATTAAAAATAACTTCAACATCAAAAACATCACTGGCTCTTGACAAAGCAACACAGAGGTCCTACAAAGCTTGGGTTAAAAGTTGTATCTTATTTCTGTACTGTGAACAAAGGCAGTATTTTCTTTTTCTTAAAGATATTTGCGAGTGGGTTAGGCACTGGTGGCTCATGTCTGTAATCCTAGGTACTCAGGAGGTTGAAATCTGAGGATCACGGTTCGAAGCCAGCCGGGGCAGTCAAGTCTCTGAGACTCTTATCTCCACTAAACTACCAAAAAAGCCAGAAGTGGGGCTGTGGCTCAAGTGTTAAAGAATGTTAGGCAGGAGCAAAAAAGCTCAGCAACAGCACAACAACAAAAAGATTCACAGAGTGGGCAGAATGACAGAATCTTAGATAACGACAAAAATTTTAGAATAAAATTTATTTCCTAAGGCTGAAAACTGAGAGGAAGATTAAGTGAAGAAATCAGACTATTATGAGATCATGATGCAGAGCAAAAACTTCAAATCAGGTCAAATTTTCAGAATTCAGAAACTTTAACAAAATGAGTAAAAAGCTTTTTCACCATATACCTTTAATGTTTATTACATTAAACATCCAAACAAGTGAGAAGTCTTAATACTTTTCACCACACAACTGCTGTTCAAACCCTAGTTATCAAATAGATAATATTCCATTTTATCTTGTTTTAAAATAGAAAATATGCAGTCGTCTTCATAAGCCAGAAATATATTAATATTTACAAAATAAAGGGGAATCATTTTGATTGAAACTATTAGCATTTTTCTTGTTCTTCTCTTCCTCTAACCAGAGTCGTCTGTCTCCACTCCCTATCTCACTATGTAGTCCCAGCTGGCCTAGAACTTCTAATCCTCCCACCTTAGCCTTCCACTATGGGGATTCTAAGCACATGATACTATGTCTAACTTCACAGTATAATAAACTTTTAAGTGACAAAATATTAAAAAGAAAACTAGTTCAAAAAGTAAACTAATGAGAACAGAAACAGAATACAACCAAATCTTTAAATTCATTTATTGAACAGAAAAATAATCCTATGCAATAAACAGTTGTCATACTATATAAAAACTAGGGAGAAAAAAGACTCAAGGAATTGAGAAGAATCATCATCTATTTAGTAGAAAAGGACCTACCTGTTGCTGACCAGGCTGAGCTTGAGATGCTGCTTGCTGATTGGCTGTATTATTTGCCGCAGCTGCAGCTTGTTGCTGAAATAAATTGGCTGGATACACCCCCCATGGAACACCATAATACTGAGGTGGAACCACTGCTGGACCTAAACCCCATAATTCCCACCAAAAAAAAAAAAAAAGGTCACTAGATTTTTATACATGAGGCAAATTACCATTAGATTACAAAAAAGGACTGACATAAGACTTAAGAGAAGAAGCTTATAGGCTCACGCCTATAAGCCTAGCTACTCAGGAGGCTGAGGTTTGAGGATCGAAGTTCAAAGCCAGCCCAGGTAGGAAAAGTCCGTGAGACTCTTATCTCCAATTAACCACCAGAAAACTGGAAGTGGCTCTGTGGCACAGTGGTAGAGCACTCGCCTTGAGCTGAAGAGATGAGGGATAGTACCCAGACCTAGAATTAAAGACCCACAACTGACCAAGAGAGAGAGAGAGAGAGAGAGAGAGAGAAAGACAGACAGAGACAGAGAGACAGACAGAGACAGAGAGAGAGAAAGAGAGAGACAGACAGACAGAGACAGAGACAGGGGGGGAGGGAGAGGGAAAGGGAAGAACATAGCATTGTTTATAATTTTCTACTCACTTATATTTGCTATATCCTTTCTAGTTTTGGGGTTTTTTTTGTACTGGGTATTCAACCCAGGACACTGCACTTGATAAGACAATCATTTTGCCACTATGTTACATCCCAGCCCCCTTTTCTAGTTATGATTCTGTTGCAAAACCAGTACCATTCAGATATCGATTTTGGGGTTTGGGCAACAGGGTTTCACTATGTACCTTGGCTGGCCCCTATTCTCCTGTCTCCACTTCACAAATGCTAGGATTACAGGTGAGATCACAATCCCTGACTTGGTTTGGATCATTTAAAGATAAAATGTTTTGAAGTGATGGTGGTGGTTTTAATGGACAGATGTGAAGCATAATCCAAGATTTCCAATGAACTGACAGAGCACTTTCTAATCTATTCAACATGTGCTGACTGCCAATTTATGAGTCAAATAAGACATAGATAATATAGTCAAAGAAGATTAGATACTATAAAGCTGTAAGATTTCTTAAGGTTGACTTATCACTTCTCTTGAAAGAGAACTCTCACTACTGAAAAATTCATTTTTATCTCTGGCTTTGCTCATCTGTAACATAAAATGAGGCAACATTTTAGTACTTTGGTTGTTAAAACAGTATCTGAATGGCAATTGTTCATTTCAAACAGAACTGGTCACAACTCTTGCAAAAAGTAAAAATTATATAAAAGCAAATGAGACATCAGTTAATGTGGTTAGAAAATAAGACCTGTGAATCAATAATTACAACACAAACACAGAAGAAAGCAAAGTAGAAAAGCAAATTGCTCTTGTTTTACTTTGTCAGGTAATATTTGATTGCTGGAGAGTAAATAGAATTATCTACATTAAAGCTACCACCAAAGTAATGAATGCAATGTAATGCTCCTTAACTGATTAAACTTCCTAAAATCATATCAAACTCTATGACATTTTAATTTTGTGTACTTTTTTTTTGTCGGGGAGGAGGGGAGGATTGTTTGTGGGGCTTCAAAACAGGGCCTGTATGCTGTCTCTGAGCTTTTTCTCTCAAGGTTAAGCTCTCTACCTTTGAATCACAGTTCCACTTCTGGTTTTCTCACAGACTTTCCTGCCCAGGTTTGACTTTGAACTGCAATCCTCTCAAATCTCAGCCTCCTGAGTAGCTAGTACTACAGGCGTAAGCCACAGGTTGGCATCCTGAAATTTGTCATTTTTAAAAATAAAAATCAAAGTTTCACTTCATTTAAAAAAAAAAAAAGTCTAGTCCCCCATCACTAAACTGAAAAGCTTTATAAACATAATGGAAAATTACTGAAGACAGTGAAGTAAAGTACAACTTCTAATAAGGATTGTTATAAGATTGGAAAAGAGACCTGGTACTGGTAGCTCAAGCCTGTAATACTAGCTAGACAGATAAGAGAGGCTAAGATCTGAGGACTGGAGTTTGAAGCCAGCTCGAATAGAAAAGTCTGTGAGACTTTATCTCCAATCAGTAAAAAGCCAGAAGTGGACGTGTGGCTCAAATAATAGCGCTAGTGCCTTTAGGTACCTGCACAAAAAGACAAAACAATCCACTACTGAAAATTCCTTTTTTTCCCTTGGTGCCAGTGCTGGGGCTTGAAATCAGGGTCCAGATGCTGTTCCTGAGGCTTTTGTGTTCAAGGGCAGCACTCTACCACTTGAGCCACAACTCCACTTTTGGCTTTTTTTGGGTGGTTAACTAGAGAAAGAGTCTTATGGACATTCCTGCCTAGTCTCACTTTGAACTACAACCATCAGATCTAGGATTACAGGTGTGAGCCACCAATGCCAGACCTTAATTTTACCTTTACTTTCAAATTGAGCTATAAGAAAGCCTAAATTCACAATGCACATTATACTCATCTCCAAGCTAAAAACTATTGTTCTCTTCAAATTACTGCTTTAAGTCTCATAGGTGTAAATGGTTCTCTGTATGTGTAATATACCAATGTTTTACACACTAATATCCAATTAAATGATACTCCAGAATAGCTCACACATCCTGATAGAATTATATGGTGCAGATTTCTACACTGAAAGTTAATGGTTTTCACAGCTTGGTTTTAGGCTACTTGCTTTCAAACAGGAATTTGAAATTAACTACTTTCCTTACTTACAATAATTTTTTGCTTTAATTATATTAACATATATTGTCTAAGGGGGTTTAACCATAAGTTATATTCATAATACATACATTGGTCTACTCTGATCAAATTCATTCCACTCTTACCCCCTTCTTCTTAAAAAAAAAAAATTCAACAGGCTGGAGGCCAGTGGCTCACACCTGTAATCCTAGCTACTGAGTGAAGATCTAGCTACTGAGTGAGGATCGTGGTTCAAAGACAGTCCAGGCAAGAAAGTCCCTGAAATTCTTATCTCCAATTAACCAGCAGAAAACAAGAAGTGGCGCTGTGGCCTAAGTAGTAGAGCGCTAGCCCTAAGCTGAAGAGCTCGCCCAGGCCCAGAGTTCAAGTTCCATGACCAACAAAAAATAAAATTCAACAGACTGTTTTCTATTCATACATACAAATTAAACTACATTAATCATATTCATCCTGTTTACCCTCTTTTTTATCCCTCCCCGGCCCACTGGTATCCACTCTAAACACAAGCCTTAAAATAAGATCTTGAGTTTGAAGAAAAAGATTAACAATTCTAATAGGCCAGAAGTGAACTTAATTTTCTAATAGACTAGTAGTAATTGTCAAAAATGCCTCAGAAAGCGCCCCCCCCAAAAAAAGAAAGAAAATGGCAATAACCTTGAGATTTCTAAGTTAGCCCACCAATACTTCAGTGAACATACTTCTAAGACTGAAAGGGACCCATTTTAAAACCTCTATAACCAACATAAATCATGCCTGACTCATTTTTCTCTAGTCAATTCAATCTAAAAAAAAAAAAGGTTCCCAACAACTTAACAGCAAATTGGTTTACTCAGTAAAACTATGCCTGACTAGCACACAACTTTCCCTTACTTACATAAAACAATAAAGGAAGTTTTGGGTTTCATTTCAGATTTGAGTGGTAGTCCTGGGTTCTGACTATTTTCAGTAATTTTTTTTCCTCCAACTGTAGCCTGGCTTGTATCCTCGCTTGAACATTTTAACATTACTGAAAAAACATGGATAGGTTTTATCTAAAAAATTTTGCAGGGCTAGGAAGGTGGCTCAGTGGTAGAATGCTTGCCTTGCATGCATGAGGCCCTGGGTTCGATTCCTCAGCACCACATAAGCAGAAAAAAAAAAAAAGCCAGAAATGGTGCTATGGCTCAAGTGATAGTGCACTAGCCTTGAGCTAAAGAGCTGAGGGACAGCGCCCGGGCCCAGAGTTCAGGCCCCACGACCGGACCAAAAAAAAAAAAAAAAATTTGCAGACCTTTACAATGTCTTTGATTTGGGAATTCAACCCATCTACCTCTAGCTTATTTTATGGAAAGTAACTTTACTTAGCATTGATGCTGAATTAGGATTGGTTATTAAAATGGAGAGATGCAATCAACAGCCTAACATTTCTATAACCCCAAAATGGAAATGGTAAGCAACCACAGAGAGGAATACAAATCCCAGTATAGACAGTAAAAAGACCAAAAAATTGCTTTGGCCCTTCCCTTGTTGAAAACTGTCTGAAAATTGTGAAGAATATTTCAATTTTCCCTAAAAATTCTAAATTACTAGAATAGACAAAAAATAACTAAGGATGAAAAATAAATTACCTGCTAATGTTGCTGCTGCAGCCAATCCTGCTGCAGTATACGGATCAGTCCCTGGAGGAGCAGCACTGATAATATATGGATTTGGCACAAATGCAGCGGGAGCAAGGCCTGCTGAGAATACACCAGCTATATTTAAAAGGGGAGAAATGATGAGCATAAATGTAAAGTATTATTTTCTTCATTAAATAACATTTCTGTTCTTATTCTGGGGTTGGAAAGCGTTATGAGTAATTCTAAATAAGCTACCTGACTTGAGCTTTTCTTTTCTTTTCTTTTTTTTGAGGTCCAAGACTGGAACTTGAACTTGGTACCTGCTGCTTTCACTCACTGGCTAGAGCTTTACCAACTGAGTCATGCCTCCAACCTCTAGAGTTTTTCATTTAAGAAATAATTTATCAGGTCTGGGAAGGTGGCTCAGTGGTAGAGTGCTTTCCTTGCATGCATGAGGCCCTTGGTTCGATTCCTCAGCACCACATAAGCAGAAAAGCCGGAAGTGGGACTGAGGCTCAGGTGGTAAAAGCACTGGTCTACAGCTGAAGAGCTGGAGGACAGCGCCTAGGCCCTGAATTCAGGCCTTACAACTGACAAAAAAAAAAAAAAAAAAATTTATCCACTGTCCAAAAAAGAAATATACTCATTACCTGACTTATATAATCCCTCTGTACCTGACCTTTATAATAATAAATATTTCACCAGCTGTCTATAAGAATTAAATGTGATATTGAATATGAAATGGCTATATAGTATTAGTACATAAGTGGCACAAAATAAGTGTTTAGAGCTATTTTTCAGTAGTGGTTTTCATTCAATCTTTATTATTCTCTTTTAGGAAATTCCCATTTTCAAGGATATGTAGCTTATACTATTTACTCAAAATGTGTTGTCAGAATTGTCCTCTTTGCACAGTATGACAAGTGAACAGTAAGGAAATAATAAATAAGGATAACAGGGCACTGCCTGGCTTACAGGCTCACACCTATAATCCTAGCCACATAGGAGGCTGAGATCCGAGGACTGCAGTTCAAAGACAGTCCAAGCAGAAAAGTCCTTGTAAGACTCTCATCTCCAATTAACTACTCAAAAACCAGAAGTGATAATGTGGCTCAAGTGGTGAGCACAAAGAGGCTCAGGGAAAGGCTTAGGCTCTGAATTCAAGCCCCACAACAAAAAAAAATAAAAATAAGGACACATTTAAAGTTAAAACCATCAAGTTTGAAAGATGACAGAGAAAGAATATGGGAATAAGGACAGCACTCAGGCTTGAGTTCAAGCCCTAAGACTGGCAATTGTGAAACATTAAAATATGGGGGCTGGGGCTGGGAATGTGGCTTAGTGGTAGAGTGCTTGCCTAGCATGGATGAAGCCCTGGGTTCGATTCCTCAGTACCACACAGAATAAAATATAGAGTCAGCTTTGAAAATATACCTTTTCTTAGAAATATTTCCATTTTATTCAGATTTTCAAGTATGTTTAGTGTTGTTTATATGTTTTTCAGAGTCAATAGATCATTTAATTCCAGTGTAAGTTAATATATAATCTATGCCATTTAAAAAAGTGGGGGGTATCGGCAAGTCTGACCTCTGGATCCATGTTTCCTAAGCAGGCAGGTACTCTATCACTTAAAGCCACACTAACAGTCCCTTGTTGCTTTGGTTCTTTTCAAGGTATTGTCACTTTATGCCTGGGCTGGCAGACTGTGATCCCCTAATTTGTGTTCTTGCTTTTTTTTTGGTAGTTGTAAGGCTTGAACTCAGGGCCTTGAACTCAGCTCTTTTGCTCAGGGCTAGTGCTCTAAATTTGAGCCACAGATCCACTTCCAGTTTTTGAGTGGTTAATTGGATAGTCATTCAGGAACTTTTGGCCAGGGCTAGATTCAAAATGTGAACCTCAGATCTCAGTCCCCTGAGTAGCTAGGATTACAAACATGACCCATGAGTGCCAGGCATTGTGTTCCTCTTTGTCATTGGTATATAGCTACTGTCCAGCTACTGGTTGAGAACGAATCTCATGATCTTTTATGCCCGGGCTGGTTTTGAACTGCATTTCCAAATATCTACCACTCAAATAGCTAGGATTAAGATTGAGTCACCATGCCTGACTAAAACAAGTGTTTATAAAGCCAAACCTGACAAGAAAGGCAAATACAAATATTACTTACACATACCAATAACAAGCCATATATAAAACATCAGCAATTAAAAGAACAAGTTTAGGAAGCAAAAGTGGGTGTGGCATTTAAAAAATTGTACTCATTACCTGACTTACGAAACCCTCTATACAACACCTTATGAACAATAAAATTTTAGTTATCACAGTGTTTACTGAATACCATGATTATATTTGTTCACCCTTTCTTCCTCTTTCTGCACCCCTCCCTTTGTCCCCACTAAAAAGCCAAAAAACAAATATGCAAACTTTTACATGAAAAAATTTTAACATGAAACTTTCAAAGCACTCATGAACAATGGAAGTATTCTTGAACAAAAATGGAGACAAGGGGTCATCAGTGGCTTAAGCTTTGTTATACTAGCTACTCAGGAGAATGAGATCTGAGGATCATGACTTAAAATCTGACCAGGCAGGAAAGTCTGTCTCAAATTAACCAGCAAAAAGCTGGAAATGGATCTGTGGCTCAAATCGAAGTGCCAGCCTTGAGCAAAAAAGCTCAGGGACAGTGAACCTTGTTCAAAGACCAGGAAAAAGAAAATACTATGTCCTAGATAAGAACACTTAATGGCATAAAGATACTAATTTTCACCAAGTGTGGTGGCTCACACCTGTAATCCTAGCTACTCAGAAGGCTGAGACCTGAGAATCATAGTTTGAAGTCTGCCAGTAGCTTTTTCTTTCTTTCTTTTTTTTTTTTGTAATAAGTTATAAAATCTGTCTTCTGGAAAAAAAAGATCAGGTTAAAAATACAAATTTACTTAGGGAAAATTAGTGGAGTTTTGTTTTTGTTTTCTGATTGGTTGTGGGGCTTGAACTCAGGGTCTGGGTATTGTCCTGAGCTCTTTTATTCAAGGCTAACGCTCTTTTGGAGAGTCTCACTTATGTCTCATTGACTTTTCTGCCTGGGCTGGTGGCAAACCACGATTCTCAGATGTCAGCCTCCTGAGTAGCTTGTATTACAGTCATGAGCCACCAGTGCCCAGCTTAAGATCAAATAATTTAATGGAAGAAAGTATTTTAAAGAAATTTCTTTGGGATTTCTATTTGCAAATGGTTTTTAAAAATAAATACTCTTGACTGGGTAGATTTAACTCCATCTGAATTTCTAGGCCATTTGACTCGACATTTTAACTTTGATGTAGACAACTTTCACCAAGTAATATTTTTACTCAACCAATGATAAAATACTATTTTCCTTAATCTTGACATAAAATTTTTACTACTGTTGATCTCAATATGATGCCTCAAAAAGTAACAGAAGGAGAATGCCACAGAATCAATCATCAAAAATAATTTCAAACACCTTAATATAAGATTTTTGTAACAATCTAGTCAAAAATGGTAATTTGACTCACCTATATGTGGCTGCTGGGCCGCTGCTAATGCATATTGCTGCTGTTGAGCTGCAGTTAACTGCTGAACTGTTAGCGCATTAGTCCTCTGGAAGAGCTATCATAAGGCAAAAATTAGGGTTAAAACATTTCATTTTTAATTAGAGTTGTGAATAGAATATTAAAAACATGTATTTGAAGAACTTTTTACACACAAGGATATTTTAGTCATACAACATTAACTGGTCAAGAACCTCTATCATTCATGTCACTGCTTCATTGTACTTCAGACTCACAGTTACATTTCAGAGTTTGTTTCAAATGGAGCTTTCTTTACCTGCTGTTGGGAATTGTAGTCAAAAAGGCCTACAGTAGATCCTGAAGAGTCCATGGGCACCTGATTACCAGGATAGTCAAACTGTAAGGGATCCAGACCAACTTGTTCCATGGCATCAAGATTCTGAGTTTCAGTAGTTGAAAATTCTTCAACAAGTGGTTTATTAGCTGTAGGATTAGGAAGGGGACCCAATCCTTCTGGGGGATTAGTACTGGGGCCAAGGCGCTCAACTACTTCAGTTGGAGAGGCTTGACGACTTCCAGGAGTACGACTAAGTAATAGAGAAAGGCATCATTAGTAAGATTAGCAAGTCAAAAGAAAAAATGAGTAGTTATAAAAATCATGAAAAATAAGTGATGCTAAAATACTGAGAGCAAATAAAGAATTTTGGATCACTAAGAATTTCACTTTACCAGTTTTTTAACTACTATTTTTTTTTTTTTTGGTTGGTCGTGGGGCTTGAACTCTGTGCCTAGGCACTGTCCTTCAGCTCTTCATCTCAAAGCTAGCACTCTACCACTTGAGCCACAGAGCCAGAGCCACTTCCAGTTTTCTGTTGGTTAATTGGAGATGAGTGTCTCATGGACTTTCCTGCCTGGGCTGGCTTTGAACCCCAATCCTCAGATCTCAGCCTCCTGAGTAGCTAGGAGTACAGGTGTGAACAAACGGGTCCGCCATAACTAACAATTTCATTTTACCAGTTTTTCCCCCCCTATTTACTATAACCACTATTTTTTTTTTTTGGTCATTCTTGGGGTTTGAACTCAGGGCCAGGGTGATGGCCTTGAGCTTTTTTGTTCAAGGCTAGCACTCTACCACTTTGACCTACAGCTCCACTTCCAGTTTTCTGATGGTTAACTGGAGGTAAAAGACTCATAGACTTTCCTGCCTGGGCTGGCTTTGAACCATAATCCTCAAATCTCAGCTTCCAGAGTAGCTAGGATTACAAGCATAAGCCATCAGCTCCCAGCTGTAACTAGTTCTTAAAAGTCAGCATAGTATTCTAGATGTGCATGCCTATAGTCCTAGTTATTTATAGCTAGTCAGCCAGCCTGGGCAGGAAGGTCTGAGACTCTTGTCTCCAATTAACTACTTAAAAGCTGTGACCCAAGTGGTAGAGTACTAGCCTTGAGCAAAAAAGCTAAGTGTTAATGCCCAAGCTCTTGAATTTAAGACCTAGAACTGGTGTGCATGTATCTACCCTAGTCAGGTGTTACTATTTTTTTTAAGTATTAATAATAATCACTTTCAATGTTAATAGCATAATAATTCAATTTTATAGATAAAAAAAATTGGCCATTATTACAACTTACAACTTAGCCTTATACTACCTGAAACCCTTGTCTTAAAACCTAGACAAAGTATGAAAAGCAGACTATTAAATAGCAAATTTGGGAATGCTTAAAATCCAGTCTCATACACCATAGTGATGTATTTGCTGTATTGACTACTCATGAGAATATTTACTGTCACACATCTTCCCTAAAAATATATACAGAACAAAAATAACTGGCCATAGATCATCTTGGTTTTCGTGACAGAAAGAAGTACAAGATGGATAAAAGAGAAAACAGCACTAAAATAAATCATTTTATCTTCAGGCCAAGTTTTCTTACTAAGTAAGAACAAGAAACTTTGTAAAAGCCCTCTACGATACTCTCCAAGGATGTTATTTATCATGGTAGGTTCTAGTTTAAGCCATCAGAAATATAAATGCATGACATACTTTAAAAGAATTCTATACTTGGGTTGGGAAGGTGGCTCAGTGGTAGAGTGCTTGCCTTGCATGCATGAGGCCCTGGTTTCAATTCCTCAGCATCACATAAGAAAAAAGCCGGAAGTGAAGTGACGCTATGGCTCAAGTGGTAGAGTGCTACCCTTGAGCTGAAGAGCTGAGGGACAGTGCCCAGGCCCAGAGTTCAGGCCCCAGACCGGACTCCCCGCCCCCCAAAAAAAGAATTCTACACTTAAATCATATTATGGCTTCCTTAGTTTCCTCCACCAAAATTCAGTAACACTGGATTAAATTTTAAATACTGGCTTTTCCCCACTAAAAATCATGATTTAAACTTCATTTTTACCTTATTTAATTCTCCCCCCACCCAATCAATTTTGGGTTTGTACTCAAGTCATAGGTGCTGTCCCTAAGCTCTTTTGCTCAAAACTAGCACTCTACCACTTTGAGCTACATACAGCTTCACTTCCAGTTTTCTGGTGATTAATGGGAGGTAAGAGATCACAGACTTTCCTGCATGGGCTTTATTTAAAAACGTCCTATAAAACAGTCTATTGCTTGGAGGAACCATGCATTCAAAATATATTCAAGCACAATTACATCACATCAAGTTAATGGCAGTTAACTTCAGGGGCTACATGTGGGAATAAAAAAAAAAAGTTTGAAAAGCAATTTTAATTCACACATTTTACTTAATAGTCAATTACTGACCCACTGCCAACATATAAAGAAGGCCTTGTTTATAATTCTTTCAGTTACTTCAGTCATCTATATTGAGTGTATCAGTTAACATACATATTGATGATATGCTGACAATGTGGTCAGTTGTTATTCTGAAATATTTTTACAGTCAAGTAGTAAGTTATGTTTAATAATTTCAAATACATATCTAAAACTTAAAAGGACTATAATTAGAATGAAGTTCATATTAACTTTTCATACAAAGTAAATCTATCAGAGAATAGGACACATAAATACATAATGTTATCAATGGTGCTATTTCCTTGCTATAGTTAATGTGTGTTATAGCTAATGGTGTATTAACACTTCAATTATAAATATACAATATGAAAGGTTTACTATCAACTGAGTTTTAAATGCATGCCCTTTACTCAAACTTAGATTACTAAAAGCAGAAAAACACCTAGGAAAAGTCTAAAATAAACTGAATATCATTAAATTTACTTCTTGTCAAAAGAGGTTTAACTGGTTTTGGATGCCTTTTTGCACTCTGAACAGACGGAAACGGCACTGTTTTTTCAAGGCATTAGTTACTGTTTTGGTAATTAAAGGCAATAAATTTAATAATATACAACCCACCGTGTGCTGCACTGTATCTAAGATTCACAGTCCACAAGATCTCAAAGAAACCGCTCATTTCAGATAAAGGCTCCAAAGCAGCTAACTATTATAAGTGTAAAGTGCAGGAATCAGTATGAATAAAAAATTTCCTGAAACAGCTGGGTGCCAGTGGCTCACGTCTGTAATCCTAGCTACCTAGGAGGCTGAAATCTGAGGATCATGGTTCAACGCCAGCCCGGGCAGGAAGGTCTGTGAGACTCTTAGCTTCAATAAACCACTAGAAAACTGGAAGTGGTGCTATGGCTCAACCGGTAGAGCGCTTGCCTTGAGCTGAAGAATGCAGGGACTGCACCTAAACCGAGTTCAAGCCCCACTACTGACAAAAAAAAAATTCCCTAATACATACATGAATAGTCACTGCCTAATCCAAGACTAAAGGTTAGATTATTTGCTATTTGAAGAACTACATTACAGATTAACACAAACATATATTGCAAGAAAAAAAAATCACTGATTCTAGTTTTATCTTCTCATTTCTAATATTAAAAATTAAGTGGGAGCTGGGCGCCAGTGGCTCATGCCTATTATCCTAGCTGCTCAGAAGGCTAAGATCTGAGAACTGGGGCTCTAAGCTAGCCTGGCAGGAAAGTCTGTGAGACTCTTATCTCCAATTAGCCACCAGAAAACCAGAACTGGCACCATGGTTCAAAGCGCTAGATAGCCCTGAGCTGAAGAGCTCAGAGACAGTGCCCAGGGCCAAAGTTCAAGCCCCACAACCAATGGGGGGGAAAAAGTTAAGTGTGGTCACAAAGAAAGGAGGAAATATAGGGTTAGAAGAGAAAAATCCCACTAAAAGGTACACAAACGTAATCCTAACCAGAGGGGAAAAAAAACCCAACCAAAGATTAAGCCTTTAACTCACTCAATTTTAACAGAGGAAAAAGTTCAAATTTAGACTATCATACAAGCTGAAAATAGCAGCTTTTAACAGTATTCCAACAAAATGTACTATTTTAGTTTAATGGCTCATAATCATTAATTTTCATTATAAAAATATTTGTCCAGATTAACACAAAAGTAGAACAAAAATAAAGTAAACCTATATTGAAAAAAATGTCTAAATCAATCACATCAATTAGTCATAATAACGCTTTTCTTCTTGAGAAAGTTAAAATCTTACTTAAAATCTTTGCAATCGGCATCCATTCCATTTGGCAAACCTCTGCCATTTATTTTAGAATCATCATCATCTCCTTGTTTAAGATCTCTGTTTTGGTCCTCCTCAAATGGAGAAGCCTTGCCCTTTTGATCTCCTTTCTCAGGTCCATCTGTTTCAGCATCTCTAGTGCCCTGAGGAAAAACAATCTGTTTGATTCTGAATACTTGACAGAAATACATTAAATTTTGTATTAATTTCTTAGCCAACACAAAAAAAATGAGCACCCAGTGGTAGAGCGCTTGCCTTGCATGCCTGAGGCCCTGGGTTTGATTCCTCAGCACCACATAAGCAAAAAGAAAAAAGCCGGAAGTGGCACTGTGG